TGTTTGTGTATGAAACCTAGGACTAAATCTGACAAAAGATGTACATACCCTTTAAAGAAGACCTAAATGAGTGGATACACCATCGTTTGAGTGGAAGACTAAGTCATCAGAAAGACGTCTCTATTCTCCTGGAGTAGGTCCAGAGAAGGTGCCAACTGTGTTTATGCACGTTGACAAGCTGATTCTAAAATCCAGGAGAAAAAGCAAGGGTCAAGAATAGCCACACAATGTGCCTGAAGAAGCAGAGAAGTGGGGACTTGGCACAGCTGTCGTGGTTAAGACAATGTGGTGCTAGTCGCAGATGGATTGACCAACAGAGCCAGGAGAGAGCTCCAATGTAGGTGCCCCGACACTGTCCTTCATGGAGGGATGGATGCTGCGTAACAGACTGTCCTGAGACCCCTGGGTGTCCACGTGAGGAAAATGAAATTTCACATGGTAAATAAATGAATCCAGCTAGATTAATGACTTCAATATGAGAGGCCAAGTTATAAAACTTTGTCAAGTCAATTTATTGGAGAATATTTTTGCCCTAGAAATAGGGACTATTTCTTAAACAAGGTAGAAGAGAAATCGTGAAGAAAAAGATTTATAAGTTCAACTATATTAAAATTAAAAACTTCTTTTCATCAAAAGGCAAAAGGCACCATAAAGAGAGTGAAAAGACAAGCCACAAATAGGAGAGAGATTTGTAACACACACTGCCAAGAGGGATTACTATTGAGAATATATGTGTTTTAAAAATACAATTCCTGCAAACTAGTAAGAAAAAAGATTTTAATGGGCACAAGTCACATGTTTCTAGTAAATGAGAAATATAAATGGCTCAGGAATATGAGAAAGATGCTTGACCTCATTAATAATCAGGAAAAATTTAAAACCACATACATGGGAATTCATTATACTAATCTATTTTTGTGTGTGCTTGAAAATTTCCGTTATAAGATTTGAAAAAAATTAGGTAAGTAAAAAAGGGAGAAAAATGTAAAATTGTGCCAAATTCCATTACTCCTAGATAACCCCTTTTAATATTGGCTTTACCTTTCTAGCATTTTCCTACACAAATATATACATATAAACACTTATGTTAAGGCTTTTTTTTTTTTAAGGCTATATAAATTTGTTTAATTATTAATTGTGAAAGTCCATCCCTGTCATTAAGTCTGGATTCACATTAAAACACACCCCCCCCAGGGAAAGACTGTTGATCACACACACCCCTACACACAGGGAAAGACCATTGATCACACCCCTACCCAGGGAGATACCATTGACTTCACACCCCCAGGGAGATATCATTGATCACAGTCCCCTCCCACAGGGAGATAACATTGGCCACACCCCCAGAGAGAAGCCCTTGATCACACATCCCACAGGGAGATACCATTGATCACACCCCCCCCACACACACACAGGGAGATAACATTGACCACACCCCCACAGGGAGATACCATTGCCCACACACCCCCAGGGAGAGACTATTGATCACACACCCCCCCCAGGGAGATACCATTGACCATACACCCCCAGGGAGAGACCGTTGATCACACACCCCATATGGAGATACCATTGATCACATCCCCCCCCATAGGGAGATACCATTGATCACACCCCCCTCCCCCCACAGAGAGATACCATTGATCACACCCCACAGGGAGATACCATTGATCAACTATCCCCCAGGGAGACACTATCAATCACATGTCCCCCAGGGAGAGACTGTTGATCACATATCCCTAGGGAGGGACAATTGGCTGCACTCCTGAGGGATGTGCTGCACAGGGCAATAGAAAGTGTGCAGACATGTGATGGAAACATTGTGCACTAAATCTTTAGTATTTTAAAGATGGACACTGAAAGTCTTGTTATATGCCACAGTTGAAAAATGCACTGTATGGAAGATAATGTACCTGTTAATTTTTGTCTCATTATAAAAGTAATCTGTGAAAATTATAGAAAACTTGGAAAATACAGAAAAGTGGAAAGAACAAAAGTTACTACCATGATGCCACCACCCATAGCAGCCACTGCTACCATGACAAACTCTTTATTATACAATACTTAGGGTAGAATTCCAACTAATAAATGTAGAAGGGGTGATGGAAGCCGATAATCAGTATTTAGCCGACACCACAGTAATGATTGTTTCTGGCAAGAGTCATCAGTGGATGCTAAAATAGTGGGTGCAAGTGTGATGAGAAACAGGATATCTACACAAAACATCCCCCACCAGACGCGTCCTAATCACCAGGAGAAAGAGCAGCAGTGTGGTGGTGGGGAGGCCTGGGGTGCCGCCACCTGCTGTGGGACAGAGCCCCCTGCCCCCAGACGCTGTCCTGCGTGCTTCTGCCAGACGCGTGCAGAGCCTCCCCAGCTTGATCCCTGCACATCTTCTATGGGGTAGTAACGTGGGGAATCAGGACGAAGGCTGTTTTTTGAACTTTTCGTAAACCTGAAATTATTTCTGTTATGGACTGATCATGTCCCCCCCAAAATTCATGTTGAAACCCTCCCCTCATGTGATGGTATTTGGAGGTGGGGCCTGTGGGTGATTAGGTCCTGAGGGTGGGGCCCCATGAGGGGATTAGTGCCCTTAGAGTGGTGAACTCGCTGCCGGCTCTGCTCTCCACTGCATGAGGACACAGAGATGGTGCCGCCCCGCCTGCAGCCTGGAAGAGGGCCACACCAGGACCTGACCTGCTGCACCCTGAACTCAGACTCCAGCCTCCAGAACTGTGAGATGTAAATGTCTGTTGTTCATAAGCCACCCGGTCTGTGGTGTTCTGTTACAGCAGCCTGCATGTATCAAAACAAAAAGTTAAAAATGTGAAAATAAAAGGGTATGATTAGTAGTACCAAAAGTGGCACAGTTCCGTCAAAGATGGGAAAGTGCTGTTTGTGGAGGCCTCACTGGCTTGAGCAGGAGTGTGGGCCGGCCTGCAGTCACAGGCTGAGTGTTAGAGGGAGCCAGGTGGGAGGGTGGCAGGCAAGCAGTCGAGAGTAAAGAGTGAAGAATGGGGTGCCCTGGTCGTCAGTGAGGAATGTGTCTGTTTGGGAAGGGCCCGTGCTGGGCAAACAGGACAGGTCGCTCCCTGCACTGGATCCTGTGGGGTGGGGTGGGGTCTCCACATTGCCCACGTGTGGGATCAGGGGCACGCCCAGCCAACACCCCAGCTTCCTGCTTTCCTGGAGCAGCCACATCAAGCAGAGCGCCCTCTTACCCTGGGCACCGCTCGTGCTCCTGGGACACATGGTCCCCAGCCCCCTCCTCCTCACTGCCTCCCTCGCCTGTTCCTGGCTTCCCTTTGCTTCTGAGGCGAGCTGGGCAGAGTTGTCTCCTCGACCTCTCCATCCCTTCTCTCATAAACCCTGCTGCTTCTCAGGGTCGGCTGGGCCCCACGGGTGGATCCTGTGTTGGCATTTTCTGCCCCAGCCTTCAGGATCCCCAGGGTACGCCCTTCTCTCTCTGCTCCTCCCTCATCTCCTGCCCTCTCCATGGCGGCATGTGCCATCCACGTTCTCCAACTCACTGTGCCCCTCAAAGCCCCCCACAGCAGAGCCCCATCCCATAAGGCGGCCCTCCCCACATCTTCTGCCCCGCCAGGCCTGCTCCGTTTCATGTTCTCCTCCTGCCTGGCCTCACTGCGCTGTGCTGAGCGCCCACACTTAGGCGCTGGCTGAGACACGGGCCCAGAACTCTACTGGCCCTCCCCGAGGGCTCCTGGAAGGGTCGGCCAATCCAGAAAGAGGCCCCAGAGCCTGCAGGGCTGCTGCGGTGGGTACCACTGCTGGGAATGGACAGTGAGTGATGGGGGCTGGGCGTGCCTTCTCTCCTCCTAAACGGGCAGCTGGCCCTGAACAGGTCTGATATCAAAGAGTAGGGTGAGGTCCTCAGAGAATGAGCACCTATATGAGGAAGGCCATCAGCATCCACCCGCCCACCCTCTGCCAAGCCCACCTGTGCTCCCACGTGGAAGACCCTGGGCTTGGAGCAGAGGGTGAGGAGTGGGGCGGGGGAGAGCCACAGGCCACCCCTCCTCTCCAAGCCCCTGGAATTAATGCTCTTTGTCCTGGAAACCAGACTTCTGACCATCTCAGGGGTGGTGAGAACCAGGCCCATTGCAGGATTTCGGAACAGCAGGCAGGCAGACAGACGGACAGATGCAGAGTATCCATGCTGCAGAGCAGTTTGACATTTAAAGGATTGTTATTTGCGTGGACACTTGGAAGCAGAATAAAAATATACCAGATGTCAGCTGGACCACACCCTGATATCAAACATATCAGCATTAAAATGGCCTTGTTCTACATAGACTTAATTTACATTGTTTTCGAAGTTATCTTTTTAATTAAAAAAAACTTAACCAGGATGGAAGCCATAGCCTGGGCGGGGGGCGGTGTGGGCCGGGGGTTGGCTCTGGGGTCCCCTAGGAGGAAACTTTGTCTGCCGGCCCCAGTGCAGAGACGGTGGCCACCGTTCCTGCTGCATACAGACTGGTGGTGGTGGCCCGTGGTAACCGGGCAGGCTGAGAGCCACCAGGGCTCCAGGAGGACAGGGTGGGGCCAGGAGGAGTGTGGACAGCACGCGTGGTCCAGCCCCTCTGAGGTGGGAAACCGGAGCCCCATGCTCCCCTCCACATGGGGCCTGCTAAGAGGGGCCAGGCCCAAGACCCCCCAGAGAGCGCCCAGGGGCTGGGCACTAATGAGCATTTAGAAAATCAGAGGTGGAACTTGGGTTTGGGTTGTTTTTATTTTGTAGTGACAGGATTGCTTGCTTTTGAAGCTGTGGGATGTGAGAAAGGGTCTGATGCTGGATGCGGGGTATGCCACCTGGTGGCTCAGGAGGCAGGGCACGTCACCTAAGGGACAGGGCTGCTCCCTGGGGTGGGGGCCAGGCCCGGGGTTGGGGCCACCACTTCTCCCTGCCAGCCCCCCACCCTGGTCCTGGGCCACCCAGGCCGAAGCACCACCCTAGGCTAATGCCGTCTTCTCTTTCTCAGGCTGGAGTGGGTGGAGATCATTGAGCCGCGCACCCGCGAGCGCATGTATGCCAACTTGGTCACAGGTGAGTGCGTGTGGGACCCGCCCGCCGGCGTCCGCATCAAGCGCACCAGCGAGAATCAGTGGTGGGAGCTCTTCGACCCCAACACGTCCCGCTTCTACTACTACAACGCCACCACCCAGCGCACCGTGTGGCACCGGCCGCAGGACTGCGACATCATCCCCCTGGCCAAGCTACAGACTCTGAAGCAGAACACCGAGTCCCCCCGTGCCTCAGCAGAGAACAGCCCCGGGCGGGGCAGCAGCGTCAGCCGCGATGGCAGCACCAGCTCCTCCCTGGAGCCGGAGCTAGACGCCCCCGAGAAGGCGCAGGAGCCTCCAGGGAGGGCGAGCCGGCAGGCCGTGTTTGGGGCTGTGAAGGAGGAGAGCAGCAGGTGAGGCGGGCGGGGCGGGCAGGGCGGGCAGGGGTCAGGCAGGCAGACCTGGGGCATCGGGCGGGGCCTGATTGCCTGTGCCAGCCACCACCATTGTCCGTAATTGCTCTCCTCTCCATTTGGCAAGAGCCTTCAGTGATGAGGGTTTCGTGTCTCCGCCGTCGCTCTCTGACACCAAAATCTGCCTCTCTGCCAGGCGGCCTCTGGTGGGGACAGTGAGTGAGGGCCCCTCTCCTCTCCTTTCCCAGACGGGGCTGTCAGGAGGCATCTGGGGCTGGAGGTTTTCTGGCTAAAAACCCGTGCAATTGACTGGTCTGCATGCTGTGGGAAGTGCAGACGTGGCGTCACTACCCACTAGAGGCAGCCCCAGAAAGTACATTGCCGTGGAGGGGAAGTGCCTTCCCCTAGCAAAGCCGTGTCCCAAGCAGACGAAGCCTGTTGTTCGTAGGAGGCGGATCCTCAGGGATCTGAGGGACGGGCGCCAGCACAGATGCCAAGCATCCCCTGCCCAAACTTGATGGATCTCTCTAGTGCCCCGGGAGGGAGGTGCTCTTGTCATCCCTGTTTTACAAGTAAAGGATCAAGGTGGTTAGGCAGCGGGGCACAGTGGCCAGGTCCTGCGCCCTGAGCTCCAGGGAGACCCTGGGACCCTGCCCTGTTGCTGAGGATGTGTCTGCCCTGTCTACCAGCCGCCATGGCTGTGTGCAGAGGTGACACGTGTTCCCATCCATACTGGTGAGCAATGAGGTGGTGGTGGACACCTGGCCTCCCTCCTCCTGTTTTTTGTTTTTGTTTTTGTTTTTATAATTTTATTTATTTATTTTTCCCCCAAAGCCCCAGTAGATAGTTGTATGTCATAGCTGCACATCCTTCTAGCCACTGCATGTGGGACGCGGCCCCAGCATGGCCGGAGAAGCGGCACGTCGGTGCGCGCCCGTGATCCGAACCCGGGCCACCAGTAGCGGAGTGCGCACACTTAACTGCTAAGCCATGGGGCCGGCCCTCCCTCCTCCTGTTAACTGCATGCACTTCTGGACATCTTCTCCTAGCACTTGTACACCCGCCTCATACTTTCAGTGGTGACACTGACCGGAGCCCACACCCTGGTGCCTGCACCCCAGGTGCCCCACACCCCAAGTGCCTGCACCCCGGGTGCCCGTACCCAGCAGACACTGCTTCAGGCCCCAGAGTAGACCCCGGACCCAGTACCCAAGGAGCCAAGTCCAGAAGGAATGGCTGGACGGTAATGTGTCAGGACAGTGTGTGTCCTGGTGAAAACCACGTGGGGTCTGTTTTGTTTCTATGAGGACGACGTCCCCGTGAAGGGGCCCAGAATGGAAACAGGCCCAGTGGCGGTCATCAGCAGGGGTTGGAAGCACCATTCTGTGCACACAGTCTGGTGGGTGTGCAGGCAGCTTTGGGGTGCATTTTGGGGCTGGATAGCTGGCTGTGGTGCTCCTGCAAGGGAAGACAGGACACATATAGGGGTCAGATCAGTGTGGATGCTGGACACACGCTAGGGGTCGGAGGCCAAAGAGGCAGTGGCTGGGCAGGTCTGTGTGGGCTTGGAGGGGACATTTGAGAGTCACACGCAGAAAGCGGAGCTTCCATTGCTGGGAGCCAAGGAGCCCCAGGGATGAGCAGGGAGGAGAAAGCAAATGGGTGAGTGGGCTGGGAATTAATGTCTTTAGAAACAGCCTCCCATCTCTGGTCTCCTGGAGCCCACAGGCTCGCCTGTTTTCTCTTACCCAGCAGGCCTGACAGCCTTGGGGCTCAGATAACGTCTCGTTTTTATTGGATTGTGATGCTTTTGAATTCTTTGTTGGTTGCTGACTCACCTCTGTAATTAGGTGAAGGGATTGGATTCTTTCTAGGATTCTGTTGACAAATGTGTGCGTCACCCCCTCTCTGTCTTCTAGGCCTGGAGAAGCGACGGCCCTTCTCTGCCCTGGGCCCTCTACCCTCCAGCCAGAGCCACACTGTTTGGGGGCGGGAGTGTCCTCTTTCCAGAAGTGTCTGGGATGTTCTGTGGGATTACTGGGTCAGTTTGGGATCAGGTTTCCACAAGAATCGCTGTGTGGATTTGGATTAGAACTGTGTTGAACTTATGAATCAGCGTGGGGGAAACGGACATCTTGAGTGTATTGTCTTCTCCCATGTATGAAGATTGTGCATTTTATACTTTCTCCACAAAGGCCTTGCATATTTCTTTAAGGTTTATTTCAAGGTACTTTATAAATTTTATAGCTCTGGCTTTTGTAAGTTACATCTCTTTTTAAAGTCCTCTTCCTGATTGTTACTAGTGTAAAACCATTGATTTTTATGTTAGTCTTGTTTTTTACACTTTTGTTGAGCTCTCATTAATCTCATTAAAGATTCGTTGTCCATCTCTTGGATTGCCTGTGATGCTGGCCAGCCGTCCCATGCTGGCCAGGACTTTCAGAACGAGGCTGAACCAAGGAGGGCCAGCACCCTCGTCTTGTCCTAATGCTCAGGCTACAGTCCTGCTGTCCCTGTAATGCTGTGATACTGTCTGTCAGCTTGGAAAGTCCTCTTCTGTTGTAGGCTTTTTTAGCATGAACGGATGTCATGTTGTATGGCGTATATTTTCTAAGTCTGTTGATGTCCATGTTGTGGGTTGAATTGTGTCCCCCAAAAAAGATATGTTGAAGTCCTAATCCTCAGTACCTGTGACTGTGACCTTATTTGGAAATAGGGTCTTTGCAGATAGAATTAGTTGAGATGAGGTCACACTGGAGTAGGATGGGCCCTAATCCAGTAGGACTGGTGTCCTTATAAGAAGACAGAGAACGCCCATGAAGACAGAGGCAGAGATTGGAGCAATTTATGCACAAGCCAAGGGACGCCCAAGGATTGCCAGCACCACCAGAACCTGGAGAGAGGCCTGGAACAGAGTCGCCCTCAGAGCCTCCAGGAGGAACCAGCCCTGCCCACACCTGGATTTTGGACTTCTGACCTCTAGAACTGTGAGAGAATGAATTTCTGCTGTTTTAAGACTCCCAGTTTGTGGGACTTAATTGGCATTTTTTAAAGTTATTATTATCCTATATTTCTTGCATTCCTGAGATACTTGGTCTATGTAATTTTTTAAATATATTCAGATTGCTAATATTTTATTTAGGATTTTTTTTCCTCGTTGATAAGTGAAATGGTTCTGTGTTGGGCTGGTTTTCACATCAGTGCTGGGAGCATTTCCTCTGAAACATGATCTGTTCCTGGGTCCAGGCCTGTAGCTTGTGTGAATAGGTTTTTAACTTTCCACACAAACTGATTCAGTTTCCTTAAAGGTGGCAGGGATATTCGGGTCTTTTAATATCTTAAATCCAGTTTTATAAAATGTCTTTCTACTGAATGGTCCATTTCTCTAAGTTTACAGAGGAACTGGCGGAAGGCTGTCCGTGGTGTCCCTCCCGGTTTGAAACGCTCTCCTCGTGTGTAGGCTGCTCCCCACGACAGCTGCTGTGCTCATTCTCTTGGGCAGCTTTATGAGGGACTTTCTATGGCTCATCAGTCTTCAAAGATCAACGTCTGCTGTAGTGAGCCTCTCTTGTATCTTTGCCCTTTTCTTTATATGACTTTATTTTCTCATTCCTTTTCTCACTTATTGTGTTGGAAGCTTAACTCATTCACTTTTACTGTTTCTTTTTAAATGAACTCTGGGAAACTAGACTTTTGGCGGTGAACACGATTCAGTCTACACAGAAGTTGAAATACAATGATGTGCACCTGAAATTTATATAATATTATAAACCAATGTGACCTCAATAAAATAAATTTTAAAAAGTAACATGAACTTTTTTTTTTTTTTTTTATAATTTT